TGGTTGTTAACGCTGGGAGTCTTAAAACAGGAAAAAAATTGAATATGCTTCAAAACGGTATTTGTCTAATTCCCTATATACTACTAAAGTATATCATCGTAAGTAGTATAGGTAAGGTAAATGTAAAGTATAGTGTTGTAAGTATTGAAAGCCGAGTATAATATAGCACTGTAAGTATTATAAGAGTTAAGTATTGTATTGTATTGTAAGACTGAAGTATAGCATTGTAAGGAGTAAAAGTCAATGTAAGCGTAAAGTGTAGTATTGTAAGTAATATAAGCTTGTACAACAAAGTATAGTATTGTAAGTAACAATATATATATTTTGTTGATAGTAAAGTATAGTATTGTAAGTCCGTATAAGTATTATAAAAGTGAAGTATAGTATTGTAAGAAGTGTAGGTACATGTATCTAGTATTGTATGGTAGGTTTTTGTTTTCCTTTCTTGCAACTAAATGAATGAATAAATGAATTAAAAGTTACAGTTGAACGTCCTGAACGTCTCCAACGTGAGCAAGGCGACTGAAAGCATCTCAAAAATAAACAAAAAAGGTGGAGAGATAAAGAAAGGCAGAACGACCAAATTCAAGCTAGGCTTGTTTATATGAAACATTTAAATATTTACTTCGAAGTGCAAGAGAATTTAATTTTTATTTCAAGTGAAGTCATAACCTTTTAGCTTTAATCTTTTGAAGTGGTGCCCAGAAAGTACATCTACAACTTTGTAACTACTTTTCGCGGGAAAAAATGTTCAGCAGGTTAATCGCGTCTTACTGGGATTTTTATAGTTTGCCGAAATGGCTGATGTAGGGCATTATATTCCCGCTACTTTGCTTATCAGTAGGGGGAAACAAAAACCAGTTGAGGGAAAAATCCTTGAAGTTTCCAAGAATTGAATGGGCTCAAGCGTTTTGTTACCACGTTGCTAAGTAACGTTAAGATTTCCATGTATTTACTACTTATGGTTCTACAATAACACAGCCAAGGTATAGTTTTCACATTTTATTTTAGCAGTCAGCACTAACAGCGGTTTATTCTGTACCAACACTTTGATCTTTTGATTCAAAGTTAGCCCAGCACACATGCAGAAGACAAGTCTTCCTTCGTGTTTTTAGCGTCTACATTTACAATTCAGGCTTATTCAAACAATTAGAGACAGTTAGAACAAAGATCTTAGCGCTGCACCCTTATCGTCATGGACTGAAAACTAAGTCCTAGTTCTTTATATGGATAGTTACGAGATGCAGTGGAATAACTGAATCAATCGCCTATCCCGATTATAAGGCGGAAAAAGTTTGTTTGAGAACTGCGATTGGTCCCTCTGTAAATGAAATCAGTAATTGATGCATGGTTTTGAATTTGCAAAGATCAGGCCAAGTCCGTCAAGACTGAATCAGCTGAATCAAAAGTCTAAAAAAGTACAAATTGTAAACGGAACTTATTTTGTTTCAGCGCATCTTCTACAAAAAAAAAAAAGTAAAACCTTTAGCAAGCTCGTCAATTTTCATCATCAGCTTTTAGATTCGTGTCTTCTACGAATCTAATGCTCCTCAAAAGTAAGTGAGTAAGTAACTTGACGCCTGTTGTCCCACGCGTACAGCACTTTTTCTCTGGGGTTGTAATCCACCTTGGAGTTGTAGCCATACTGGTTTGTGAACTGTATGTTAGGGTTCCACTGTTTTGATGTCTTGGTGTCGTAAGCAAAGTTGATGGTAGTGGACTTGCCGCTGTAGCTGTCGATACGGTAGATCACTCCACAGACCACAAAAGCATTGCCCATCGATGTCATTGTTTCTGTACAAAAACAAGAAAGATATGTACACTTGAACTCAATTGAACACAGTCATTCTATTTTTGAGATGGAACAAGGAGACCGTCTTAAATGCATAAAGTGCTTTACTTTAATTTATAAGGATTTTTAAAACTGTTACCACAAGTAAATTAAAACTTAATTTTGCATGTGATTTGATACTGTCGATACTATCTTGGAATCGGCAATGTGTGCTTACCCGTACTCAAACTCCAAGTGTTGGTTACTGTGTTTTTGTAAACATCAATTTTGGAGGCATACAATCTCTTGCTGTTTCCAGTACTGCCCCACAATACCCACAGTCCTTGCTCATCAACCGATAGGTCCATTCCACTGGATCCGCCCCAGCCATAGGAGTTCTTCCTTGGTGAGTAACTACTCAAGCTTATTTGAGCCTCCTCGCGCTCTGTGTGCAAATTGTACTTGACGATGTAGTACGTATTTTCCCTGTAAATTGATGAAACAAAAGCAGACTTAGGAATTGTTACCAAGGGATTGATTTACCGGACCTTGAAGAGCCAAAAAAGAAGTCAAATTTACATCCTTTTTAATTTTTGTGATTGGTGATACTTTAAGAAATCGAACAAAAGCCTAGTTTTTGTCAGCGTCGCATTTCGTTCTGGAGAAATGTACTGATAGCAACAAGGTCGACCTGACATTATTGGCATCAGTTAATTTTACATTACTTGGGGAATTTTCCGAATTTTCAACATCATACTGGGGTGAAATCGATTTAAAATTTGTACCTGTTGTAGTAAAGATATGGTCTATATACCACTGCTCCAGTTCCGTCCCAGTTGTAAGGCAGTATGTACGCCTGCTTTGAACTTGTCCATGTTTTCAAATTCTTCAACAACATTTCTGATTGCGCGCGTGACTCAGTAAACTTCTTTAGTGCGTTTCTTTTCAGTGGTATTTAATTTAGCTTGTAGTTCCACTGGGGGTAAGCCCACAGTCACAAAGAAAAGTTTTGCTGCTTCATGGCGCTCCAATTAATTGCCAAAAATGTGAAATATATGTTCAGAACGCTTAAAGTCCCTTAATACTGTACATGTAAAAGCAATCCGACGTTTCTGGGATAACCTCTTTATCAGTTTTTGTTGATTTATCCAGAAATCGTTCAGTCTACAGTTATTACCACATATTTAGATCTTGATCGCAATTTAGTCACCTTGCTCTTGTGGTAGAATCTGGAACTACGTACGAATTTAAAATGCCAACTTGACTGGAAAGCCAGCAAAACAAATATAATTGTTACTAACCTTTGAACATTATCCATAGCTGATGATTCTTCAATCCTTTTGTAGGCTCCTTGTCTCTATTTCGTACACAAGAGGACTCTCTGGACTCAAATACAAGTTTTCGCAACTATCAAAAGAACAAGAACACTTAAGGCTACCTTTTTTATGAAATAAGTCCATTAACGTTAACTGTTTTCTTTCACTTTGTTAATAAGGTCTTGTTGCCTCAGGCGCAAGACCAAAATGTACATCCGTCGCGCCATCATTAGGGAATATGAATAATAATTTAAGTAACCACGAGGAAAATGTTGATTAAAAATTAAATTTATATTTTACCTACGAGTCTCGCGATACTCTAAAGACATTAAAATAGTTTCTCGTTGTCGAGACTGCCTCGAAACTGACACAGCGATAAATTCGATAAAAATCTTAACAAATGAACCGTCACGGTTCACGTTTTTCGGACAACGCTGAATTTGGTCATTTCACGTTGTTGTTTTG